TCCTGCACTAAAATTTTAGGCAGATTTCAAATAAACCTCAGACATCACCAATGAACAACACACATAGCTGTGGATATCACCTGTAAAATCATTTTGCCACACCCATTCATGAGAAGGAGACAACAATTCTGCTCAAAAATACTGAATACCACAAGCCAAAGGCCTTGGCACTCTGAGAGGGAGGGCAAGAGATTTTTCTCTGAAAACAGCCCAAACCTGGATGTTAAATAAATGTCCTGCATTTCTCCACTACCTCCCACACAGAATTCCTGAACAAAGCACAGACAGTAATGACAAACCACAAAATACCTTCCTGGTACCACTCACAGCCTGAATTCTGCACGTGCCCAAAATATCACGGGCTCCATGACCCAGCTTAACACTCACACAGCAACTACAGAGCTCCAGACCTGAGCCCTGCTCCAGTCTGCAGCCTCTCCCCTCTCCCTCCCCCTCACTGGCATAGACAGCACCCCCAGGAGCTCTTCATCCTCACTGAGCTCTTCATCCTCATCCTCACCAAAAGCTCTCTGTGCCATATTCTACCAAATGTAGAAAAAAAGGACCCGATTTCTTAATTTCTTTCTGCTGAGAGAAAAGAGTCTTCAATGATATCAACAGTCCCAAAAAGAGTTGAACAGATTCCCCATGAGATCAGAGAGGAGAGGTGAAATTTGGGGATGCCTGCATCCACACCCATTTCAATCACATCCAACCCTGCAGGAACTGACAGGGCTGGTGCTTTTTGTATTCATAAAGTGTCCAGACGAACACAATTCAATTAAAATGAACTACCAGTTTTAAGTGGGCTAGATCTGATCACAAGAATTTACACTCAGGCTTGAAACCCAGTTCTGCTGTCACACATTTGTGCAGGCTCCCAGTAAAATCTTCAAAGCAAGAATATATTTAAGTCCACGATCTTGCCTAGCACCAATTAATCCTGTAACTGCTCCGTGCCTCTGGAAACTGTGTAATCTGCCTGTGCCTCAGTTCCCCCCCTCCCTGTGACACTCCCTGCTCTGTATGAATGCATTAACATCTCCAGATGGAGGTGTGGATATGCTGCAGATCTAAAAACCAGCCAGGAACAGAGGTGAGAACAGAATTACCAGGGAGTTCTGGGCTGCTGGGTCCTGCAGGCTCCCCTTAAAAATTCCAAGCCTGTGTCAGTAAATCCCATTTCATCACAGAGCTGCTCCCACCCAGCTGTGTCCAGGTGAGGGGAGGGGGGAAGGCTTTGCCATCCTCTCTCCCAGGAAGTGGAACAGGTTCTCTGGCACCTACAGCAGACTGGATTTTATCCACAATTAGTCCTGCTTAATCAGGGTCTTCAACATGACTTACCAACATGTTGTGGAGGATGTAAAAATATTATTTTAAAGACTGAGACTAAGAGAGCCCAACAAAAATCCTCATTAAAAAGACACTGAGAACATACTGATACACTGAGACTAAACAGAATCCTTCCCTCTCTCTCAAATGTCAAAATATTGCAGAACCAACCCAGAAGAAAATGAAGATACTCAGGGTGAAGCTCAGAGAGAAAAGTCCAAATGTGCTGTTTAGTTCCAAACCACAGAATCTGTCATGGGACAGGTACACATGACAAAAGTCCAGCTCAGGAATTATTCCAGATGGGAGCACAGTTCTTTCCCAGCACACTCACCACAAATTCCCACCTGTTTCCACCACAGAAACATTTCTGGGTCACTCAAAGTTTTAGGAACAAAACTCCAACAACTTCATTTCCCAGAAGGAAACAAAGCCCTATGGGTCTTTTTTTTTTTTAATCTGATTCACTTTATTCAGGTTTATTTTATTACTGATCACAAACCTTGGTGGAACTTCAGCACAGTTCTCCAAAGCGTAAATAAGTTAATATTTGCTGTTGGTTCCTCCACTGAGCAAATCCAGCCCCACACACCCTGCAATCTACTTTTACCAAGCCCACTACTTCCTTCATTTCTTGAAATTATCTGCAGCTTATGCTGAGGAATAGAAATGTGGGAATCTGGTATTTTCTCTCAATCCACTGGCAGATGGAGACAAAGCCAAAAATACCCCAAAACCCCACACAAATGCAGTTTACATTTCAGGGACCTCCTGAACTCTTGCAAAAGGAAAGCACAGCCACTTGTCCCTTTAAAGTCGTGCAATTTTCATCAGTTTCTGGCAAAAAATGTTCCTCACCTGGGTTTCAAGTGCGCCCAGTTTAGTATTTTAACTAGAATTAGAAAAGAAAAGCTACAGGCCTGTAATGAGAAGCTCAGGGCCTTTGAGGATGAAGAGATTTAATTCCTTAAAGCCCTTGTTACCTCCTTGTCCCTCAATTATTTGTGGGTTATTTTGTCACTCTATCAAGATTTAACACAACAAGCCCCAAACACTGGAACTGTTTAATTCCTGACACTGGATGTGGCTCCACCAATGTTTATCCCACCTCTACTTTGGCTCTTCCTTGGCCTTGAGGGGATTTTTGGAGACAATTTCAGGAGATTCCCTTCCAGCCTCCCAGCACAGTGAAATGAGAGTGGCAGGCCTGCAATCTGTGCACAGCCACAGCACAGAAACTTGCACCTTGCACTCCTTTTCTATGTAAATAATGCAAGGATCCTGCGGGAACATGCCAGGGATTGGAATTTTTAATTAATGGGTCTCTTTAATGTGCAAATCAGGAGCAGATTGCAAATTCTGACTCGCATTGATTATGAAAAACATTAATTGAACGTGCAAGACCCCAAACAGAGGCAACATCTCAAGGCCTGGACCAGACTGGAAGATGCAGTGCAGGGGAATACAAATCTGTCCTGGAGAACAGCACCTTGGAATTGTGAGCTGGGAGGGTTTGTGTGTGCAGGACATTAAACACTGGACATTTGTGCTGCTTTCAGAGCTCAGCCACTCTGATCCCAGCACTAAAAACCAGCCAGACTCGGGTGTGCAAAACAGGAATAAACACGAGCTCCATGACCACAGTTTGGTCTCACATCTGTATGTAAAAAGGGCGGCAGAAAAAAAAAATCTGGAATATAATTAAAGATTTAAAAAAAGAGGGAAATAAAAAGTAAAACAGCACAAACAAAGCAATGCTGTCTCTTTAAACAGAAATTCATCCTATATAAATTATGGCCATAAACTTTTCCTGCAGTGCAGCCTAATTAATTCTTGTTCTATACACAAAGGGAAATGCTGGGTGACAAATGGGTGTGAAGCCTGAAAGCTGCCAGGTCTGCAAAACATTTTCTACTTCAATTTATAAGCAATTTTGCAGTAAATCATCTACCAGAACCTGAGATCTCAGGAATCTAAGGTTGTCCAAAGCATGTTGTAACATTAAAAAAAAAATCATAAAGATTACAAAAATAATAAATTAAACATTTTAAGTTTTGTAACCTCCGGTCTCAAAATCTGGAAAATGAGCATGACCTTGCCATTTATTTTCACCCAGGTTTGGCTTTAAAACTGCAAATGGATGGAGAATTGCTGTCTACTCTTTAACACAATTACACTCCAGCCCTTAGGGAATTCCAGCACCACAACAAGGCTGTCCTGAGTAGGAGATACCCAAGAGGAAACTACACAAAGGACCTTTTTCCAATTCAAAAAATTCAATCTTTCTCTGAGCACAGAGCAGAAATTTCATGAGAAATGGAAAGATTTGGAGAAAATTACTGGAAACACTCTTGTCCAGGAGCTCTGAGAGAGCACTGAGAGCCTCCTGACTTCGGCAGCCTGCAGGGTTCACCCCGACTCTGGCATTTTGGCACCCAGTCTTTTGTGCAGCTAGAACACCAAATCCTTCCCTCCTGCTCCACGAGGATGATGAAAATGTGGCAGATTTATTTTGTGGGTTTGGACAGAAGTGCTGAGGCTGCCCTGAAAGGAGAGCATCATCCAAGCCAAAGCAGTGCCCATGCCATGATGATCCCCAGTCCTGTCCAAGGCTGAGGTTCATCACATGCAAGTGTAGCAGCAGTGGTAGAATGTTCCTAAATTCAGCATTTCCCACCTGTCAGCCTGAGGTTTCCTCTGCTAACACTGCCCATGTCACTCCAGCTCTGTGCTCTGTCCTCACAGATGAGCCATGAACACAAACCAAGCCCTGAGGATCATCAGAGGGAACTCCCTGCCCAGATGGTGAGGAGAGGGGCAGGAGGGGATCATTCAGCACTTCTTAGCAGTGGAGTTTCCCTCAGAGCTCTGCACAACTGAGGGACCAGCCTCTGCAGCACTGGGGACATTGCACTCCATGCTTGTGGGTGTATTTTGCTTATGGGAACTACCAAAATGTCAACCATTGTTTCTGCTAAAGGTCTTTAATGATATTGCATCTTAGACCTGTAATGAAACATGGAGCTGGGGCAGCTTGTAATGCATCTCATTAAGGACATTAATAACGTGTGTTCCACTGAAAGGTCAGCACAGCATTGGTGGGAGTTTGCCTTTTTGTCCTTAATCACTTCCTTTCAAGCAGCAGAGCCAACTTTAAAGCAGAAAGCAGCTCACCTGTAACTGCAGGTAAGCTGGTTGCCCTGCCCTAAGACACAGGATCAAAACTTGCTGCAGGACCAAGGTTCAGGTCATGTCTGATGGCCCAGAGCCCTCTCTCTCTGTGAATTCACCTCAAGGCCATAAAAAAGGTGTCCAGATATAAAAACTAAACAGACCCACAGCACACTGAAGCCCAGCACTTTGCACTCACCCACCGCAGCCTGCACGTTATGATTTCATATTGGAGAATCTACTACAGCTCTCATCAGATCAGTGTGATCAGCAGTGATCTCAGGAATGAACAGATGAAGCAGCACCACGCTGGAATTCAGCTGCACAGCCCCTCCTTTGGGCTGCACAGCCCCTCCTTTGGGCAAACCTTTGCATTCACTGCACAAAGCTGGTACAAGGTGTCTCTGGACAGAGCACCCCAGCTCTGCACTGGACAGCAATAAGCAATTGTTTGTAAGGGTCTGAGCAAAGGAGAAAGATGAAAAGGCTCTTACAGCTCTCCACAGCGTTGTCAAAGTCCTGTCCCCCCTCCTTCCTGAACCTGGGGTAGGTGTCTGGCTGGGGCAGCCTGTTGGCAGTCATGAGCACCTTCTGCATCTTGATCCTCCCTTCCATCAGCTGGTCCCACAGGGCTTCACAACAAAAAGGAAACAAAAGAATCAGTTAGCAAGACAAAGCACTTGCTCCTGGTGAAGGACCTGACAGCTCAGGCCCTCTCCTCTGGGCTGCACTCCTCCTGCTCAGGGCAGCCTTGGCCAGCACAAAATGGGTGCCACGAGCTGTCTCTGGACAAAGCAAATCCCAGCTGCAACTCTGTGAGCCACAGCCCAAACCACCCCTCTGCTGCACTGGTTCAAAGGACAGCCTGCACACAGAGGTTTGAGCTCACACAGGAAGAAATGGCACTGGGGGAGCCACACTTTGGAAAGAAGCAAAGTGATCCCAGCAGGAGCAGTGCAGGAAGCTCCCAAACCCAATGGCCCCATGAGGATATTCAGCACTGGTTCAGTTAAGCTCATGGATAAATACACTTCACATCAGGAGCTGTTGCAGCAGCAGTGACACCAGAACATCTGGCACAACATCTGCACGCACACGGGGCTGCTGCAGCATGCACAAGCAGGGTGCTGGCAGCACCTCAGCATGCTGAGGGGCTCAGGCTGGTTTTACCCTGCCAGCAAACACAGCAAACATGCACAAACCTAGCTGGTTCCTCACAGCTTTGCCCTTCTCCACTTCTTCAGACTCCTGTCCTCTGGAGAAGGTCAGCACTCCCCCATCATCTTCGTTGTCTTTGGTTTCTTTTCCATCATCGTGGTTTTCACTCCCAAATTCTTCCTCCTCCTCCTCCTCACTTCCTTCTTCCATGTCAGCATCATCTTCACCCTCCTCTTCATCCTCCCCTTCACTGCTCCCTGCATCATCCATCCCCTCTGTAAACTTCTCAAAGTCTGTGATATTCTGGGAGCTGAACTCTGGTGCCTTGGCCGCTTCATCATCTTCCAAGTCATCCTCCTGCTCACTGCCAGCACTGCTGGGCTTCTCCCTGCCCTTAGTGCCAACACTGTCCTCCTCTTCTGAGCCTTCACTGCCACTGTACCAGTCATCTAGTGCTTCTTCAGCTAATAAACGAGAGAAAAAAGTTATTTACTTAGCAGGGAAATTCACCAGCAGCAGCTCAGGTTTGGGCTGTTTGAGGTCCATTTAACTGTAGCTGCTCCTTGCCCTGAGCTTTGCCAGGCTCGGTGCTGACATCATGGTCTGCCAGCAAAAAGGGGGAAAGAAATGAGATTTCTTACCAGATCCTTCTTCAGACAGAGCATCTCCCCAGAGCTCTTGCTGCAAAGCTTTCCGAGACGTGGCTTTTCCACTGTACCTCTTATCAGCTTCCAGGAGAGAGGCTGAGGCTCTTTTCCTGATATTGCCAACAGGCAAAATGTCATCCGTGGTTTCATCCTCAAATCTGTCAATCACTTTAGCAACTGTAGCTGTGGAGAGGAGAAAAAAAGGGGAAGGGGTGTCTGAAACGGAGCTGAATTCCAGTCTGGAAGGAGCCCTGGGCAGCTCCTCACGCTCTGTACCAACAGTGCACTGCACAGGGGAACAGGAACTTTGAAAAGTGCAGGAAATGCACACAAATAATTTCCTGCAAGGGGGAAAGGCTCCTGCATGAAGCAGAACATGAACCAAGGATGCAGCAGGGTCTGAGTCCTTCACGTGGAGGGCTCTGCAGAGCTGCAATGCCTTCACTCACTTCATGTTTGCAGATTAAAATTCAGATGCACTCTGGCCTCTTGCTCTATATACAAGCCACATAAACACATACACTGCACTGTGGTTTTTGCCCTCCTTCATCCCCATCTTCTCCAGGACACAGAGCAGAGCAGTCCAGCCCAGAGAACACATCCCACCTCTCCCCAGCCTGTGCCGAATTACAATGAGCAACTCAAATCGCTGAGTGCCCTTAATGTGCGTTTGGAAATCTTAATGCCTGCTTGGAGTGCTTGTTAAAAGGCAGAGAGGGACAAAAACATCTCCTGCTCATAACCAAAGTAACAAAATCTGCTATAGGTACAGTCACTCCAGGCAGCAGAGGATGGGCAGGAGGGGCAGATGCTTCCAGCACCTCCTGGAACCCTCAGTCTGGCACCAGCGCTCGATGAAGCTCTCCCAGAGCAGCAGCGGCTGCCCCGGCAGTGTCCCGGGCCGGGCTGGACGGGTTTGGAGCTGGCAGTGTCCCGGGCCGGGCTGGACGGGTTTGGAGCAGCCCGGGACAGTGGAAGGTGTCCCTGCCATGGCACGGTGGCACTGGCTGGGCTCTGAGGCCCCAAACCCAAAGCAGTTTGGGATTCTGTAAAGTCTGGAACAAAATTATGGTTACTAAGATAGGAAAACACCTCTGCTGAGCACGGTGACTTCCTCGGTAGTTATTAAAGCGTTTCTTACAGGACACTGCCGCTCTCACCAGCCTGCAGGCCAGAACCGGGCTAGGCCCAACACAGGCCCGACGCCGGGGCTGGCCGCAGCCCTGAGAGAACCGATCCCGGACCCATCCCCGACCCACAGCGGCTCGATGGACTCCGTGGCGGAGGTAACCCCGAGCCCCGGCCCAGCCGCGGTCCCCGCGGTCACCCGGGCCCGGCGGGACCCGACCCGCCCCGCCGCCACGTGCGGCCGCTCCGGCAGCGCCCGGGCCGCCCCCCCGGCCCCTCCCGCCGCCGCCGGCCCCGATACCGAGCCTCCCTTCCCCGGTGCTCCCGCACCTTCCTCCGCATCGTCCTCGGGGTCCCGCGGGCCGGGCCGGGGGTCCAGCAGCTCCTGCAGCCGCAGCGCCAAGGGCGCCGCCATCTTGGGGGGGCTGGGGCGGGGCGGGGCGGCGTGAGGGGACGGGGCGGGGCGGGCAGGGAGCCCGGGCCCGCCGGGATCCACCGGGAACGAGACGGGATCCGACCGGGAACGAACCCGGGATCCAACCGGGAACGAGCCGGGATCCAACCGGGAATGAGCCGGGATCCAACCGGGAATGAGCCGGGGTCCGACCGGGAATGAGCCGGGATCCAACCGGGAATGAGCCGGGATCCAACCGGGAATGAGCACGGGATGCAACCGAAATCCATCTGGGAACGAACCCGGGATCCAACCGGGAACGAGCACGGGATCCGACCGGGAATGAGCCCGGGATCCGACCGGGAATGAGCCCGGGATCCAACCGGGAATGAGCACGGGATCCAACCGGGAACAAACCCGGATCCACCCGGGAACGAGCACGGGATCCAACCGGGAACGAGACGGGATCCAACCGGGAGTGAACCCGAGATCCAACCGGGAATGAGCCCGGGATCCAACAGGAATCCAGCCGGGAATTAACCCGGGATCCAACTGGGAATGAACCCGGCATCCAACCAGGATCCATCCAGGAATGAGCCCGGGATCCAACCAGGAATGAGCACAGGATCCAGCCAGAATCCATCCAGGAATGAGCCCAGGATCCACCCGGGACTGAGCCCAGGATCCAACCGAAATCCAGCTGGGATCTATCCCAGGGCCACACCGTGACCCCGAGCCCCCCGAGTCCCCCGCCGTTCCCGGGCTTCCGCAGCCCTTGTGGGCAGCAGGGCTGTGGGATCGGGCTCTCGGTGCCGAGTGCCATCAATAATGCACAATATGACAACTATTGCTTTAAATTGCTGTCAGATCCCTCTGCCTCTCCTGCTGTGCAGAACCGAATTCATTCTCTTCCCTTCCTCTGTTAAATATTCTGTGGCCTCTGCTGGAGTCCCTCTCACAGCGGTGAGGTCCCAGAGCTGGGTTCCCAGGTCAGGCCTCGCACACGGATAGATCCTTACACCCGAGTTACACCCGGGTTACACCCGAGTTACACCCAAGTTACAGCAGCAGCGGGAATTGGGGAATTTGGGCTCCTGGGTCACGCTCTGGCCGAGGAGCAGCAGTCGTGACCTGCAGAGAGCCTTAGCAAGGACAGGTTCTCCGGCTTTGCCCTCTGCCAGCCTCTCCCGTTCCCTTTCTTTGGTCCTAAGGTGGCCCCAAACCCCAAGGAACTGCCTGGAACTGGGGAACACCAATCGAGGCTGGCACGAATTTTATCCCAAGGGAGCCTGGGCCGCACTCAGCCTCTCCGATCCGAGCTGCAGATCCTCAGAGCCCGCAATGAGCTCCAGATTTGGGCTTTCCTCATCCAGCGTTGGGATTTCGGAGGTTCCAGCTGCCCGCCGTGAACCCGAGCACGCTGATGCTCGTCCCCCTCTTGTCCTCCCTGTGTCGAGGTGCCTTTAGTGTCCCCAAATCCGGCAGGAGGTGGCCGGGATGCAGCTGGTCCATCCTTAGTGTCCCCAAACCCGGCAGGAGGTGGCCGGTACCGGGAGCCGGGATGCAGCCGGGATCCAGCCGGGTCCATCCCTCCGCACGGCTCATGCGGGCGCTTCTCCTACAGAGGGCAGAGGAATATCAGGAATTCCCATCGCCTCCAGCAGGGAGAAACCCGGCAGGCACCGAGAAGGAGCCGGCTGGAAAAACCCGAGCATCGCCCTCCCCGCCTGACATTGGCTACCTTGATGACAAAATAAAGCTCGATTTATGGAAAACCCAACGTTTGCTGAAAACGCACATTTTCACAGCAAACCTCCCCCGCCTTGCCCAAGCTTTAAAATACTCAACAGCATAAACTCCAACTCAGTTTTGTAGTTTGTATTTATTTTATCATGGTAGGGTGGATGGTTCTGATGTTCTGCATAATGGGTGGGGGGGGATTACCCCTGCTCCAGCAATGAGAAATTAAACACTGATTTTTATTTGTTTATTTATTTATTTACAAATACATGGTTTGAATAAACCAGGAAACTTATAAATCAGGAGACATGCACAGTGTATCTTCCCTAGCTTTGCTTCTAAGTTTTCCTTTTTTTTTCCCCTTTGAGTTTGTTGGTATTTTGTTCCCAGATGCCACCATAAACAAAGGGAGGATCCTGGAGAAATAAATCCGTGGCAAATTAAGTAGCAGGAACAAGTGCTTACCTGTGCAGCTGCTTCTGAGTAACTAACCACTCACACAACCAAAGAACTAGTGCCAAGACTCCCCTGCATAATTGCATTTTCCAACCTCTGCACTCTTAGTGTGAAAAAGGGACGTTCTCTACCCTCACAAATAATGAATTGCCCTGTTAATGAAGGGAGAGAGGCTTTTAGTGATGGTTAAATAAAACAGACCCAGTAGAATTAATAAAAAATACAAGTGAGTCGCATTAGTCCTTTGGAGTAAAAAATGAGCTCCTTGAAGTCACAGCGTTTTTGATACTCAGGCCACTGAGATCAGGATTTCACCCACTGAGACTAATGGGACAATTGCTCCATATAAATCCCAAAGCCAGCAATGCATTCACACCCACGTCCACGCAGCTGTGAACCGGGGCCTGGCAGAGCTCGCCCGTTCCTGCTCTGTGCCCATCCATCACTCAGAGCCACACAGAACAAAAACGTGCTCAGGTGTGGGGGACCCCTCACCGCCGGGTCACCCCAGCCTCAATCCCGCAGCCACAGCTCCTGTCCCTTCCCAATTCTTCAGGAGGAGCTGCAGTCAGTGCAAAGCCACATCAAACAGCAACTGCGGCCTCTGAAAGTCGGGCATTGTTAAAGTATTTCACCCACAGAGTCTCCTTTGCCGCTGTTTATTCTCTCTCCTCTGCCTTTCACTTAGCGGGGTAATTAAATCAGACTCCAGGGCTGGTTTTAATTTCTGGTTCACACGCCCTCCAACCATGCTGCCGTGCCTAGGACTCAGAATAGAGCAGGGGAATATTTGTACCAAAACTCTATCGATACATTTTCATTTGAGATGCTCATGAAAGGCTTTTTATGCCTCACGGTCGGTTCAGAGAAACCCTTGGCCTGTTTAGAAACTACATCAACCTCACTGACATAATTTCTTTGGCATTTTCCCTCTTAATTTTACTTTTTTATTCACACGCCTGTTTGCTAGAATGGGAATAGCAGCCCAAACACAGAGCAGATAAACAAGGGAACGTGGAACGGGCCGGGCTGTAAAAACGGGTTCCAATTTCTCCCACTCGGCATCTCTCGCTGCCGTGTCCGTGGAGCTGGTCAGCTTTTGGGGAATTGTCAGATGAGATGGAAGCTTTGGCAGGGAAGGGCTGTACCTGTAATTAGACGTGTCTGTATAATTACAGGTTGTTAATAGGAATGCAGCTTTCAGAGCTGTTCCTTCACCAGAACAAGGAATGGGCCGGGGTGGAAACGTGGAGTCTCTCATCCACGGGAATTACCCGCCCCGGAGTCACCTCTGCTGAATTTCAGTGACTTACTTCATCTACAGCAACATTTGACCCATATACAGAGGGCCTCGTGCTGGCCAAAAATAGCCACGAGCTGGGCCTGAACTTGCCAATGCTTGGGCGAGCAAATGTCCTTTTCCAAACTGACCTTTATCATTTCAGTCATGCTAGTTCAGTCAAAATTTTCTTTTTAAACCAGCGACACAATTTATCCATGAAAATGAGAGAAAAAAAGAAGTGAAAAGAACTGGGGAGAAGCAGAAAAGAACACAAGCAAACCCCTTCCACTAAAACAAATTACATAAAATTTAGATTATGTACATAAAAAACCTCTCCTCATAAATATTTATTAAGTTTTTTTTTTCCTGTGCTTTTATTTACTTGAGTACTTCTGCTATTCCTAACCCATCCCTCATTCAAAAAGCACAATTGCTTTAAAGATTTTATCAACCCTTAATGGTTCCTACATTGAAAAATAGAAGGAACAGAGTGTGTCTGAAGAGATGCACAGCCCAAAGATCCTTACAGCAGATAAGAATTTTAAAGGCCACCCAAAGGCAATTTAAAAACTCGATGAAAAGTGGTTTTAGAAGGAGCAAAATGTCTGATTTTCAAGCAAACCACACGTGTGCTCTGCTGTGCACAGCCATGCACACAGCCAGGCACTGCAGAGCTGGGCCAGGGATCTCCTCCCAAAGCCCCTGAGATCCTGAGCGGGGTCAGGTTCCTCAGGAGGGGAGCTTGGAGTAAAAACAAGCAGCAAAATTGCCCCTAATTCTTAGATTTTCCAGACTGTGGCAGTGCTGTCCCTGGGTTTGGTGACATCCCGGAGCAGCAGCTGTAACAGAGCCCGGTGCCACCCGTGTCCCAGCAGTGTCACCAACAAAACCACGAGATGCCAACAAAACCACCAGCTGTGATCCCGTGTGCCAGCGGGAACAGCCCTGCAGCACCCTAAAAACACCCCAAGAACACCCCACAGCCACGGCTCCAGCAGCCCCAGGGACACGGAATGAGGAATTTGGAGGCCACCTCACCACAAGGCCACGTTTCCTCTCCAGCTCCTGCGTTTCAATTCTGCATTTCATGAGCGAACAACTCTCCCATCAAACTCTATTTTCCAAGCACAAGCCCATGCTCTGTAGCTAAACCACCACGAGTGCTATCAACAAATAAACAAATCCCAGGTTTATAATCAAAATATATTTTAACAGACCCACTAATTTCATTTATAACTTCATGGGTGTTCTGTTGGCATGAGGAATGCTGAGCACTCCAGTGCCATGGCACAGACAAAGAAAAGAGCTCCCAAAACCTGCTCCAGCATCACGATTCCTTGTTCCCAGCTCACCAGCATAGAAGGATTTGTATCAATTGTTTAAACTTAGTAGATGTGAATTTATCTGTTAGGGATAGGAGCAGAAAGGGGGATTGCAAATGCTTAAAATTTCATATTGTAAGAACATGCAAAGCTTAAAGACAACACAGTAATTCAAGATAAAAATCCAGACTATAGAAAAAGGAACCATTCCCGAGAGAACACTGCAATATCTGCCACTTCCC